TAGGGCAGCTTCCGTTTCTGTATATATATACATGTAAAAACCAGTGAATAAAATATCTGAACTTCTACCTTAAATCTTCTTCCTCACCTCAATAGACTGCAGATATTTCTATAAAAGCAAGAAAAACAGTCTTAGACATATTTACTAAATAAAAGACGATGGAAGATGAAAAGCATCAAGAAATACCTGCATGTTGCCAATAAGTAATGCAAACAAAACCAGTCCAGCAATGGAAATGACAACAGCAAAGATAATCTCCCAAACAAAAGTGCTTGTTTTCAGATTCGACCCTAGAGAGCTGAGAATGAATAAGGAAAACATTAATTTTTGAGTAATTCAATAATCAATAAGGAGATTGTGATATACAAACCTGAGATTACGCAGACCCCACCAGAAGCAGTAAAAGAATTTTTTACGGAAACTCCTAGTTCCCACAATCTCTGACTGGAGTGCTTCAAAGAATATTCCAAAATTGAAGTCTGTTGAATTTGTAATTTCATCAGGATTGATCAAAGAGCAGGAAGTATTCAGGATCAGGACTTTCTGCAAAGCACGAAATGATTCGGCTAGTCCATGGTCCGCCGAATCATTACATGTACAGTACAAAAGAGTACGGTTATAACTATGTCCCCTAGCAACATCACCCCAACACCGCTCTTGTCTTTCTACTGAAATCATGTACCAGATGGCCCCAAGAACCTGGAATTGAAAGGTTTATTTAAGTGTAAGGAAATCCAAACTATCCCTTAAAAAGAAAAAAAAAGAAAAAAATACACACACACTTACATGGCTGGCTAGCGTGTAGAGGAATAGATTCAGAGCAGCTCCAGCCCAAGCAGTCTCAGTGATAATGCCTGAAGTTCGTGTAACTTCTGTATAAAGGGGAACAATTCGAACAATTCTCGGTACATATTGACAGAAAATAATGTATTTCAACGACTCCTTCGTTACAAATGCAACCGGCTGGTCTTTCAATGAAGGGACAAGCAAAATTACAAGCTGAGAGAGAACACAAAGTAACAAGAATTGTTAAGTTGTAATCTTTTCTTTAATGATATTGAAGAACTTAATTGGAACTTACTACAGAGAAGCAACAAACCTGTGGAAGTGGAAGAATTGACAGGACGTCGATGATGAAGTATGTGAAAAAGTACCTCTTTGCAATAGCCCAAGGATCAACAATCAAGTCACCCCTACCAAAGACTCTAGAAGGAGCGGCAAAGAACCCAGTTCGGAATTGAAAGATCATGTGAATTATATAAAAGGCATCGATGAGTGTACGAAGGACACAGGCAATGTTTGCCAGTCTTTTATTCAGGTTGAGGCATTTTTGGGTTCCGTCATTCACAACCACTTGGGTGTAGAAGAAAAGAGGGTCCAGTGCCAAAGCAATTATACAGGCTAAGAGAATTATTTTATTCCAGATTTTAAGGAAAGATCCCTGTGGATCAAGAATTTTCTTCGAAGAACCTGAATCTTTTACTGACTTGTTACGGGAAGACCTTACGTTCATAGGTTTTCTGAAGCTTTTGACCCTTTGAGAACCCATCTCAACCCCTCTCCGGACACTTTCCATAACAGAAGCCAGAGAGGTTCTAACTTTTCTCGGAAAAGTTGCATCAGCATAACGCTCAGTTAAAGATTTATCTGATTCAAGCCTAGGTGAAACAAAAGAATTCCAGAAAGCAAAACATTTAATTTCACAACTGATGCAATGATTAGAAGTTGCCAAATGAAAAATTAAGCCAAAAAAAATAAAAGTTTAGTATTCAAACTTTAGCGCAATTAAATAGAACTTAAAGTTAATGCTTAAAGAGGCTAACCTCACAAATTTATTTCCCCTAATATTCATAGCTTCAGCCACTTATTTAAACCAATCAGGCCCTGCAAAAGTTCAATTTTCCATAATCAGTTTTGTTTAATCAGATTATATGCATATAAACTGAAAAGAATCAATAAACACATCATGAATCGTCATGTGATACTATAAATACATCATTTTAAAAATTAATAGGAATTTAGAACCTGCTTTTTGTTTTTGTTTTTTTTTTTTTTTTTTTTTGTTTTACTAGTGAAAACTTATACCAGTAATGATGATATCATGAAAATCATCCATCGAAGTTAAACCTTTGACCGTATCTCTATAATTCCATAATATCTATAACTAAAAGAAAAGTAACTTAACTTCATGCATAATTAAAAGTTAAAACTCAATCAAAAGATGTCTTAAGTTTGGTTACCGAGAAAACGGATTAAAAAGAGACTAAAAGCTTTCTTTTCTCCAGAAAATTTGAAAAGCAGGCCTCAATCAAAGTCGAGATCGGTTCCTTGCGCTCATTTACGACGACCGGCCTTGATTTCTGCGGTTGAGTTGAGGAACGGCGATGAGGAGAACAGAAGTCTACCGGAATCGAACGAAAAATCTGGGAGAGATTTTGAACGTTGAGGAAATAGAGAGAAATTTCGTTAAGTAAAGGCCTTTTCAGAAGAGGTTTACCGGAGAGTCTCAGATGGCAGCTACTGCGTTTTCTAGGTGAGAGAAGTAGGAATGGAAACTGAAATAGGAGGGAATATGGAAAAAATAAAAGCAGTGGTACAAGTTGTACAACAGAAAAGCTGATATATATAGGGAGAGGAAAATGAGAAGGTTAAATCACCATTTTGGTATCTAAACTTTGAGTATTAGACCAAGTTGGTCCTTAAACTTTATTTTTGCAATACGAAATTGGGCCTTTCCTTGACGTAGTTGTCGGTTGTGACGTTAATTTACCACAAAGTCATGCTTTTTAATTTTAAATATTAGATGGAATTCTTATTTTCTTGTTTCTTATGTGTTACATGCGCATTTCTATACTTTAATTAAAGCAATTGATTTAAAATTTTATTATATTTTGTTGGCCAAATACTTAGCCCTAAATTCTCCTTTAGCCTCTAAAGGTTGGGGAAGAATTATTATTTTAATTGTAGTTTTGGTGGCTAGAACTATAGTTTGAAGATGTGTGTAGGTTTCTTGATTTGTTTTAAAAGGTTGAATTTGATTTTGGGTGTGGTGTGGAATCAGTAGGCTATAGAAATTTTCTAACTTCTGAGGTTGTACACAATAAGTGTTTGACGTTATACATAATAAGTGTTTGATGAAATGCCTATGCCTATGAGGGGTTGCTGAATTTTGTTGAGAAAAATATATTGCTGGTTGCCTTTAATAGTGGTTGAAGATATTCTTTACTTAAGGAACTATTTGAATTAAAAGTTCGGGAAAAATGGTTTTTGAACTTTATAGTTTTGATTCATCAAGTGAGAGGAATGTTGCTGAATCGGTTCTCAAACCAATGGCCCAAAATTGGAATCTAGATTTGGGTTTTTGCATAACTAAAAAATTTTAAACATGTTAAAATTTGGAATTACTTTCCCTAGTATAATTGAAATTTGACTAATTTTATGTTTGTTTTTCGGGTAATTAAAGTTGTTTTCATTGTGGTAATGTGGGCGATAGATAGAAGGATATGTTGGAGAAAAGAGAGAGGTGAATGATTAATTAAGTGTTGGTCTCATTGTATTTAATTTAATTTATTAAAAAAAGTTATGATAATTGTACATTAAAAAAATAATTAAGATAAGATAATAATTGAAGTAGCATTAGTAGACTCAATTTTGAAGTGAGTGGATAAAATAATAATTAGCATTAATATTAATTAATTACAATCAAACTTTATAAAGAAAAGTCATACATGGCAAAAAAAAAAAAATCCATCTTCTCAATAATAAAATGAAATCAAAAATTTCATGTAATATTTTAAGTTTAAAATTTTGCATGAAAAAATACTTAACCGTCCATGTTAGCATTTAACTAATGGAAGGACCTAGTTGTTAATAAAAAATTAAAGTTTAAGAATGATTTGGTAATTTTTAAAGTTTAAAGATCAACTTGGTCTAAAACTCAAAGATGAGGGACCAAAATAATAACTTAACCCAGTGAGAAAAACGATGACGAAGTCACGGGAGTTGTGCCCCCCTAAAAAAAATAAATAAATAAAAGAAGGAAGACGAACAAGAAGAGGAGTCGTGAAGGCAAGCTCACTCAAGTCCCTAGCCTCCAAGCAATTATTGTTGGGTACTCGTTGTTGGTCCCACATGGCCATTGTTATGGGGCCAATAACTTGCGTTCTGTTCATCATGGTTCATCCCATCACAACACTGTTACCAATGTTGTTAGTTTGAAAAAATCAGGGGCATAATCCCGGTTTTGAAAAATAAGTAATTATATTAATATAATTTATTTTTCATAATTAGTTATATCCACTTTCTTAAAAAAAGAACTTTTTAAAAAGATATGATTACAATGCATTTCTTTTTTTAACCAAAAAAAATAATATTATACCTCAATTTACGTGTTAAAACTTTTTAGATAACGTGGTTATAATGCATTATATTTCCTTCTACAATTAATTATATTATATATCAATCTACTTGCAATGAAAGTTAAATCCTAAGCCAAGCCAATTGAATTTTTAGTCGACTATCGTGATTTTTTTTTTTTTTGAAAAAGTGGCAAACCAAACAAACTCTAAGTTTGTTCTTAATTCTTTTCTTGGTAACCAAACAATATGAATTAAACACTAATAATTCATGTGTTAAATTTAATAATAAATAAGTATCATATTATATAATAAATATATGATTTAAGTCTTAAAATTAATATTTAAAAAAATTAATTTTAAAATACATAAAAATTCACTCATAATCATTATAACCGATCAAACCGAAATAAAAAATTACATCAAGAGTGTTATTTCTCCCCCTTTTTTTTATTTTTTTGGCCATGACAGGGTAATAATTTAATTCATGCAAGACATGGTACAGATAAAAGGATTGCCAGTTGTTGCCGGAACAGACCATTAGATATGCATTAAGAAAATAAAGTTTGATATGTGTCATGTTCATGCCCGCTGCTTGCCATTCGTAATTGGGTCAAGCAAAGTCTAATAAAATATCGTAATAATATTATTAATCAAAATTAATTATCATTTTCCCTCGGAAAAGTAAAAGAAGAATATAACAAGTAGGGACTTAGGAGATAGCATTTACTAATATTTCCTTTGTCAACTTGGGGGAGTTGGTGGGAAGTTTCCAATGAAATTTAAAAACAAGGAAAGACTCGGAAAAAAGAATGGTATGAACTATGAAGGCTGCTGTGCAAAAAAAAGAATGGTATGAAGTCTGCTGTGCAAAAAAAAGGGAAGATCGAAAAAACTGAAGTCGTAGTCAAATCTTCCTATTCCGAGGGCACGGGTCATAGACATCTTTCTTTACCCTTACTTTGGCAGAGAAGGGGGCGTCACGGAGAGTAGACTTTTGTTGAACTGGAAAGATGGTTACAATATTCTGTGTTCACCCTTTGACCGTCCATGCTAATTCAGAAGATGGGCCAATTACCAAAGTTGGCTAAGTTTTATAAATAAAATTTTCAGAAGAAAAAGTTCAATGGACTCGGGTCATGATTTGCACGTCAGGGAGAAAATTTCGAAAAGAAAACGATCTATGTGGAGAATAAAGGATTACCACAAATGGTACTCGAGTTCTCTATATTATAAATTCCATAAGCACAAGTCAAAAAGAACATTACAATAAATGAAAATAAATGAAAATGTTGCTCTTTTCAACTTTGCTGGGGTAATATTAAGTAAACTAAATTACCATGCTGAAATGTTTAGTTAATATCATTAAA